AACTCAGAACTTCACAGGGGCATCACATAAACTTTACTTACGGAGCATGGCTCGCGTAACAACCTTTATATATTTTAAATTAAGAAAGTTCTCAAAGTCAGGATAAAATAATGTCAACATACAACAAGAAGGGTCCCATCTCATCATAATATCTACAGGGTGCAAACGGAGCCAATAGAAGTGTCAATATTAGATCTAAAATAGTCTAAAATTACGCTCGGAAATGGTACTTAGATAAAATAAATTGTCAAATCTTGAAAGCCCGATTACAAATGAGTTTGTAGACCCTTATTCCACGTATATTTGTTAGACAGCTGTATGTCTATGTGTTGATGCGTGTGTTGATAAATGTATCCCACAAATATATAGGTTTGTTTGGAATAGCTTCTTCTTTTTAAATCTCGCCTCCAATATGGGACTGAGGGAAGAAATTGCAACAACTTTTGCAATTTAACTAATCTTCTTAGTTCGCAACTGTACTCTCTCCTCAATTTGCCCGGAGAGAATAAAGCTGAAAAGCCCTTAAAGTGCCCAGTAAGAATTCCATATAATCTCTGAGTTCCACTTTGCTCTAATGAGATGCAGGATTCTTCACTTCAACAAGGGGAAACGACAATTAAAGTAAGGTCCACGTCAGATTTAAAGGATTTTTACCACAACCTCTGGTTTTCTAATCCCTATATTGTTGCAACCCGATGTCATGGACCTTTTATATTTGAACATATGTATTCTGTAGGATCAAATAATCAAAGTTTGAATTATCAAAGATCTACACCATTATATGGGGAATAGAAAATAGGAATTTGTGGCGAAAGCTTAATTCCTTTTGCATATTTTTATTAATAACTTCTCTCAATGAATAACTAATCGACTAGAACAAATATGTTTAAATTTCCAGATAGTGTGCAAATCATAGAAAAAAACGAGTTTTTTTAAGCAAACTATTTTTTTCTTATCCCTTTATCTTTGCAATCTGATGGTGTAAACCTTTAATATTTTAAATTGATTCAACAGAATTCAATGTTTAAAATAAGAAATCATATCGGGTTGCAATAATATAGGGATTAGAAAAAAAAGAGATTTTGTGACAAAACTTTTTGCTACAGGGATAATTGCAAGTATTCAGTTCCTTAAGGATAAATTTTAAATGTAACAATTTGATGAGGTTTACAGATATAAACCTGCTTTTCGTTAATAATAACATATTTTTAGCGCATTCTAAAATAAAAAGTGACAAGGTATTTATTGATATTTTCACTGCATAAACATGTATTTTATTTTCGCATATTTATAAGTTGTTATTCTTATTCTGTCAACTTTATTAATAATTCATACGTACTTTTTTACTTACAGCTTATAGAAGTCCAGAAAATCTAAAAGAGTTTACAACAAATAATTACTAACACTCAGCTATTTTATTTTGTTTATTTTTTTCATTTTCTTTGATTAATATTTTTGTTTCTTTATTTTGATTATTTTTGTTTATTTATTTTGATTTTATTTATTTTGATTATTACGCCACTAGAATCTCACAAGAGAGAATTGATTTATTTGGTGCACCGTTCCGGTATGCCTTATTATACAGGCTCGTAGCTAGGGGGGGGGCACAGGGGAACGAACCCCCATTTTACCTCGGAAGGGATGAAAAGGAGGAGCACATTTTCTAAGACAAAAAAAGAAAATGAAAAATGAAAAGAAGGAAACGAAAAAAGAAATAAAATCCAATGTTTGTTACCAATATTTTGTATAAAGGATTATTTTTCTTCAAGTTAAAGAAAAATTGAGTGCTATCTGAAATAACCTATTTGGGAATTTTTATTTCTATATTGTCTTGTAAAATGATATGGTTTATATTATTTTTGTATGTATTTTGAGATGCTTATCCTTTTCCTTCTTTTATTATATTAATGATTCTAATGAACTATCGTACAGCAAAGAGTAACATGGAAACAAATATATTATAGACAAAATATGGCCAGGTTTAGAAGAAGTTGATACGTAAACTCATTATAAGCCTGCAGACATTTTTTTTTTAAATTTTAGTTTTGAGAAAACTGAAGATTTTCATGATTGAGCTTTCTATAATCTTTACATCATTTACATCATTTACATCATTTACATCATTTACATCATTTACATCATTTACATCATTTACATCATTTACATCATTTACATCATTTACCATTTACATCATTTACATCATTTACATCATTTACATCATTTACATCATTTACATCATTTACATCATTTACATCATTTACATCATTTACATCATTTCCTTTACCTGTATTGAAAATAAGAATTGTCTATTAGTGATTCAAAAATTTTCAGCAGTGCATTTATTTATAGTTACACTCAAATCTTCATTTTTTGTTTTTAATGAAATCATAGCTTCTTAATTATTAAGCAGGCCAATTATCTATCTTGATAAACAATAATGTGTGAAATGTTAAAAATCTAGTATTTTAGTCTACATATTCATTAATCTTAACCCTTATTGAGTTTTTCAGGTCGGCCTGATAGTTGAAATGAACAGAAGTTTACATCACATCTTAAACATCCTCTTAGTGAATGTCATTTTCATAAATAACACTCATTTCTCAATTTATTATATGATTCTGAAAAAATGTGTCATTTTGGTTTTTTGAAAAATTTGTATCCCCTTTTCTGTTTATATAACTCCTTATTCTTTACTTTTTACAAAAACACCCATTTACTTGGATTCTATTTGCCATGTGTTCTCAATGCTTTAAACTACTCCAACTAGTGTGGGTTGAGTGTTTTGTGATGTAAAGCTAAAGGAATAATTACAATTTTGTAATTTGGTTAAAACACTTTTTCTCACCCCACCCCTACTCTCTTTAATTAGTAAGGTTTTAAGTTTTGCAATGTTTACAGTGCAATGAGGGATTCATAAATCTTTCTTGCTAAAAATAAACAAACATTCCGTTCCATAATAATCCAATTCTAAACAGCGGGGTATGGGGGGAAATGCTTTGTGAACCAAGATTACTTCTGGCAAAACAACTAAATACTCTCCTCAAACTCTAATCCATGTATAAAATAGATCCAGACAGCTATGAAATAGATCCAGACAGCTATAAAAAGAAGCATCAATTTTCAAGATCGGGTCGAATCTAAATTGTCCCAACGCCATCACCTTTAATTTTCCCTCACCAAATACTTTTTGTATGCTTAAATATGTACATTGTACATGACAGAGCTAAAAGAGTTAATTAGGCAAACTTTTCATTGAATTTTGAATGACCCTTTTAGAGCCTTTGTATCACTGTAATATATATTTAGGACCTAAAACGTTGATGCCTTATATTTCAAACTTAAAATTCTGCTAGATTAAATGGCTTAAATTGAAATATCAAAGATTTAACTCCGCCAGATTTCTTGATGCTAATGTAATTTGATATGAAAACTTCTTCCAATTCTTTCATAGTTTATATTACCCTTTAACCTTCAATTATTAGATATAAATAATTTAAAAACTTATTAAACCCAACTCAAATACATAATATCTATGTCTGGCAGGAGCGTATTCAGGAATTTGTTCCAGGAGGGGCCTGTAATAATAGGTTTTACTGATTCAGTTCAGATGCAGAGGGAGGGGGGGGNGAGTCCCCTTTCTCTTTCTTTTTTCTCTTTCTTTTTTCAATATCTGTAGCTTAAACTTTGGCGCAAATAAATAAAAAAAGTTTATTTTGCAATTGATCAAAAGCTTAGAGAATAGTACTTTTCTTAACACAATAAGAAAATAATTAAAAAGTTAGGGTTGAAAAGTTTCATTAATCCGCTTAGGTTGGACACATGGGGGGAAATTTACTTTTTATTTTTACAATCATTAGAAATCCCTCTAGTTCCAAAATTTTAAATTCTTTATAAAACATTCAATTTTCTTATATTTGTAGAATTTAAAAAAAATTAATCAAGAATATTAAAAATAAAGCATTTTTCGAATAAATGACATTTTTTTCGATTGCGTAAAATTTTGCATCAAGGGCGAAACAAACTTTTGAATCTGTGATTTTCAGGCTCAGTTATATATATATATATTTTTATTCAACTACAAAGCACGAGATAATACAAATAAAAAATTACAAATTTACAATGAAGTTTGGACCCGCCTAACCAGAGTACGTTGCTTTAATTGGTTGGCCCATTATAAGAGAATTGTAAATAAATACATGGTTGTAAATTGTACAGTGTACATTTAAACATAACAATGATGATAAATCAGGAAAAAGTTAAGGAGGTGGTGAAGAAGTATACGGGAAAGGGAGTGTACGCAGCGGGATAATTCTTTTTTAAATCTTATACAAAATTTTTAAAAACTCTTCATATGATAGTTTGACATGTTTGAATCTGTTTAGTTTTATTTGGGGTTTCTATGAAACAATTGAGAAATTATTAGAATTAAATCATTTTATCTTCCTCATTATTGAACCAGGGTATCATTGTGCAAATTTCAATAAAAAGATACACTTGTCAAATCAAAGAGGAGATTGGGGTAGAAACTGTTGTTATCTAGATTCATACAAAATCTTCCACCTGAGGGGTTTAGCTTAAATCGTAGTTTTATAGGGACTGTAAGCGTAATTTCAAGTGACCGGACCCTCCACCAATTCCATGCAAAGATGACTATGCTTGTTTTACAACGGTATCCTTGAAACCTTAATCTGACCTTGAAAATCGGGCAGTGCCATCTTTGATTATGAAGGGTCACTTGAAAATACGCTTACAGTCCATTTAAAACTACGATTTAAGCTAAACCCTTTAGGTGGAAGATTTACAGTTCTTTTAATTCATTTTTAATTCAGTTCTAGACATCTTTTCATTTGTCAAAATTGAAAGTCCTTTTATTTTTAAATAAACCTATGAGAATTTGACAATCAAATTCCACAAATTTAATTATTCAATTTCTTGGATTTAAAAGTTTTCGTTGTAAGATGAAAGTAGAGGAAGAAAATATTGAAAATCTGCATTTTGANTTTGATGATGGATGGACTGCCAGGTTTTGGTTTTTGACAGGAGAGGATGAGGTTTCCTTTTAATTGACGCTGTTTTGATTCATCTAGGTCGTCCTCACATTTTCTAAGCTGGTTTTTTATCTCCTTCTCTTCTTGCTTCTGTTGTTTGAGCTCTGATATCTCCTTGCTCAGTATAACCACAATTTCAACTAAATGGTTTAGAATTGTACCAAAACTAGATTTTTCAGGTTGTATATCAGTCTCAGAACCAATTCCTAGATCGGACAGGTTTTTGAGAATAGAATCTAGGGCAGCAATTTCTATTTCTGGGTGATTTTCTGACTTGTTATTTTCCTTGGAGTTAGTAGCCCTTGGAGGTTTTTCATGGTTTGCATTTTTCCTACCAGCCATTTTATACACCCTGTATAACTTGTTGACTGAACTATCTATACATGAACTTATAGATAATTAGTGCCAGATGACCGAGCGCACACACACACACTCACGTCTTGTCACGGTGAAGGGTAAGAACTAACTGACCTTAGTTAGACCTTGACGCAAGCAGAATACCTTAATGAACAACCTTAACTTCTAGGTCTAGTTTTCCAGTAAGGATCTGCAGCTAACCATATGGAATCGACTACAATCTTGACTAAAAATAAATTGTATGTTTAAATTATTTTCTTATAAATCTTTATATTATTTTAATTTATTTTGAGATAAAATTTTGCTACCTAAAGTCTCCTTAGATGAACAAACTTTAGTTTTCTTTCGGCTTCATCCTCTTCATGTCCTTCATCGTCTTCATGTCCTTCATCGTCATCATGTCCTTCATCCTCTTCATGTCCTTCATTGTCTGAGGATGCTGAGTCATCCTCCTCTTTCCAGTATTTAATCAGATGACCCAGATCTGGAGAAGCCAAACCCACCGACTTAAATATCTCGACTAATAATAATTTTTTTAATATATTTTTCAAATTTTTTTTCCATGGGCAACGCCAGGCCCTTCAGCGGGTTATTATTATTATCTAATTGTTGCATTTCTAATTTTAAAAAAAATAGAATTTTTTCAAAACAGATTTAAGCACAAAGAAAAAAACCGTGGTTTTTGGCAAAATTCTACATTTATCAGTATCATTATTAACTATCATTATTACTATTTTTATGTTCAATTCTTTATTCCAATGACAGCATGGGTTCACAACTTTAAGGATTAAGGAAAAGAAGACCTTCATCCCTTCATTCTTTAGTGAAAAATCTTACCCCGGGGGGGGGGGGGNGAGCTTGACGGAGACTTTGGCGACGAACTCGGTTGGAGTTACTTTCGTGTCGGTCATGATGCTCGGATGTATCACTTAATGTTCAAAGTTCAAGAAAATCACTAAACTGGATAGCGTTTAACTGTATGTTCAAAGTCAGGGGTCACCAATATAGAGGACGTGAGTCAGACTCTAATAAAACGCATCAATAACTTCCAGTATATATATTTCTTATAACTTATTACTAGAGGGTTCAGAACTAGAGTCAATATCGATATCGCACGTGTAGACTGTAGAGATGATATCAGTACTAATGCCCCGTATCCGTTCTATCTCATTCTGTTGAATCTTGTGGAACTAGTTTAAGGCGGCCAGGCATCGTCTTCCACAACTTAGTGAATTCAAGGGACGCCTAAGTTCCCATTGGTCTGGCTGAGAACCATCAGGAACGTTCTTAGCTTGGTTTTAAGATTCTAAGTTGAGTGGGTCCACTTTTATAGGAAAAAATAGCTAAAATCGTAATTTACGACCAAGCGGGAGTTAACGGCGGAAGTACTATGAGTACCCTGGGCAACGCTGGGTTCTCAAGCTATGTTAACCCTATAAATCGGAAAATCAAAAAATCAAATGTAGGAATCATAGTCTAATCTCACAGATGCGCTGGTACCAATGGTTGAAGAGTTTCTAGTCTTTAATCTTCTGTTATTTATACACTGAAAAATACAATATCTCAGACATATCAAATACTGAATACATTTAAGAATGAAATACAAAATAAATATCAAATATTACCTTATACCAAATACGCTCAGGTGAGTCAAAAGCTCCCAGATTCTACATAGTTCCGATACAACTAACTTTACTATAGTCAGTTAACTTTAAGGTTAGAAGTATGCTCATTGTTTACAAACACAAACTAGAATATTTTAATACAGTATACAAAAGGGATGTTGCATTTTAAAAGTTGAATTAATGCTATCAATCGAATCCATCATCCTGCAGAAGTGATTCTCAATACATATTTTATCTAAAAAAGAAAATGTTTTGAAATACAATTTTTAAAATGATTTATCTTGTTTTCTTTGATATAAACACTACAGCCTCTGCTTAGACCTTGTCCTGTATCATCAAGCACTTTTAGTAAACTTAGGATTTAACAATATATATTTGTTTATCAGCTGTATCCTATATTGAGTATTAGTTGAGTATGATCGGTAAATTATCTTTTGTTTACATTAACCAAGGGGGAAAACAAAGTGAGGTGGATACAGGGAGAAACAAAAATAATTTTCTAAACTTTCTATTTTTGTTTTGCTGAATGCAGATGAAATTATGTTGATGAATAATACAGCTTAAAGGAACTGTGAAGGAAAAATGAAAGGGGGTATAGGATGAAACCTGAGAATCTCAGGCGTTGAACGATACATACAATACATCCATCTGATTGTCTTGAGAAATTGATATAAATCTCTGTCAAAATTTTACGAAAATTCATATATATACAATTTTGTATAAAAGTAGTAGGTTTCAACAGTTCATTTTCATCAAATACGCAAACAATTTAAAAAAAATTATATCCCACATGAGGAGCCTGAGAATCTCAGGTTTGCTCCTATTATAATTTTTTAATTTTAATATAGTCCGTATAGCCGTATTATGTCAAAAGAACTTCAGCCAATGGCAGTGCAGTATACTGGTCACATGATTTGCGTCTGTAAAACTATTTGATTTGTGCTAATATCAAATACAAATAAGTATTACTATTACGTCGTCTTCCTAATTCACAGTTTTATTGTTCGCACTGTAGTATTAGAATTTTTTTACTGGTACATTTTTGTTTTAAAGTATTTCAAATGTAAAGATCTCATTTGATATTTCATCTATTTAAGGTTGAGTGAGATCTTAATCTTTCTGAATACCCCTGTATATGTTTACGGATGGTTGATCCTGAATAGTTAATTCAAAGGGGAACTCACCGTAGACTTTGAAGAGACCTCGCGAGTAGGGGAATTGATATGTCTTAGTCGGAGAATAATGTAACTAAAAATTGAATATTGTTAAAATTAGATTTTATGAAAAATTATGAAGTGATAAGAAAAGTATGTCAATAAAATGAACCGGTATGAAAAGGGGTCAACAATCTTCTCAATATATAATATAAGAGCGGGAAAAGGGACCGGCTTTGCAGTTTAAGGAGCTAAGTTAAATTATAAAGCTTAAAAAGTAAATAAGGAATCTATTAAAATATAACAAAAAAATCAAATTTAAAATTTGACGATGGTGGTGGACCAAACCTCTGTAGAGTAAAAAAAAGTAGATGTTAGTTCCACATTTATTGAAAATATATTTTGGTCTGGGTTGACCCGCATCAGTTCTAACGATATAATAACCATCAAAATCGATAAAAAAAATATTTAAAAATTTGTAAAAAATCACAAGAAAATAAACAAACAAAAAAAGATTATTCAAAATAAAAATTTGGGCTGTCAAATGGACATAAGGGAAACGAACTCAGCTTATGAGATGGAAAAAAGATAATTTGCAAATATCCACTTTAAAAAAAATGTTTTAAGACAATTATTATTCCTTGAGATTGTTTCTGTCATAAAGATTAAAAACAAACTGTTTAGATGTATGTGTATAGAGTGGTAGAGGGGGTCGATCTAATTATCAAACTTTTGCGAAAATCGGAGGGAGGGGGAGGGGGGGACGGCTTAATTAAAGAGGAGTATTTAAACCTTTTAAAGAATTGGACATAAACATAAAAGATACTGAATTACAGTTTACAATTAAATAAAAACTATTTTTTTTTCTGTTCATTCCTCTGAGTTCAGTCAAAAAATCTCTAATGTATTGAGATTCTCGTATAAGTAAACTTCTTCCGTGGTCCCAAACCTTCTCTAGAACACTTTTAGATGGTAGAGTTCATGTCCAGGAAGGTTAAAATGTTCTCCTGTAGGCTGGTTTGTATGGAGATTTCTAATGTAACCAATATGTTCTCTCACTCTTTCATCTAAAGATCTTGTTGTCTGTCCAATATATTGTAGTTTACACTGTTCACATGCAATACAGTAAACTACATTTCTGGTCTTACAGTTGAAAGTTCCATTAATCTCAATCTCTTTGCTGGTATTCAAGGATTGTATAACTGTTCCAGGCTCTATGAAGGGACAAGTTGGGCAATTTAAACCACAAGGTTTCATACCAGGTATTAGCCTTTTTGGCCTCATTCAAGGAGGATCTGGAATTCTGGCTCGGATGAGTTTATCCCTGAGATTAGGAGGTCCCCTATAGGTATCCATAGGTGGATTTTGAAAAACCTCCTTCATCCAAGGATCCTAGACCATGGTTCTCCAATGTTTCTGTATGATGGAGGAGATACAAGGCAGATGGGGATTAAATAAGATAGAGATTATAACTCGATCTGGTTTCTCCTTTTTCTCCACTTTCTTTAAAGCAACTTCTCTAGGTATAGCTTTAGCTCAAACTATAGCAGAGTCAACAATTGAAGAATTGTAATCCCTGCTGAGAAGAAAATCCCTTAGTTTTAAGAATTGTGCATCCCTAAGTTCTGGTTTGCTGCAAATTCGTACAATTATGTATGCAAGTGAATAAGGTATGTTGTTAGAAATATGTGCTGGGTGGCAAGATGATGGAAGTAGGTACATACATCTATCTGTAGGTTTTCTGTAGAGATCTGTTATGATTTTTCCATCTTCAATATACAGTTTTGTGTCAAGGAATGAAATAAATACTTTTTGTTCTGTGGCACCAACAGTCATGTTCATCATTTAAACCACAATAAAATGGAGAACTATGTTCTAGAGTAAACTTGATTGTCGGATGAATTTTATTGATATCATCCAGGAATTGATATAATTTCTCAAAAGAATCTGTCCAGATTCCAAAACAATCATCCAGAAATCTTTTCCAGGTCTTCAGGGGGCACTCATCAGTTTTGGTGTATGCATTTGCAAGTTTCACAATTTGATCATCAAGCTTAGCTATAAAAATGTGTGCATAGGATGGGCGGGATGTATTCCCAATTGCTGTTCCTATCAATTGTTTGTACAGTTTACCACCAAATTCAAATATGTTATTTTTCAAACAAATGTTTAGCAGCTCAATCAAAAAAGAGTTTTCAGATTTAATTTAGTTTCAATTAAGTAGTTTTCGATGATGAATTCAAGGATTAAAGGAAGAAGAATTGAAAACTCTATGGGAAGATAAATGTATAGAGTAACGAGGTAATATTATTATTAGTATAGTTTAA